GGGATCTAAATATGGGGGTAAAATGGCCCAAAAAGTCCCGTTCACACCTAGGCGTTTAGTTGCTGAAAGCTAAGAGTGACGGAGCACTGAAGACAAGGAATCCCATTCATTTGTATGGTCCCTGTTCAACAGAACATTGAAGACAAGGAACCCCATTCATTTCTATGGTCCCTGTTCACACCCGAGTATTTTGTCGCCAGCAGAAAGACACATGTTACTGGAAAAGGTACACAGGCTTCTTTTTGGCAGATTTCAGCGCTTTTTGTCCCATAGACTTCAATGGGAAAATACTTGAAACGCACACAAGTCTGTGGGACCAAAAAGCGCTGAAATCTGCCAAAAAGAAGCCTGTGTACCTTTTCCAGTAACATGTGTTTTTTTGCTGGCGACAAGATACTCGGGTGTGAACAGGGACCATAGAAATTAATGGGATTCCTTGTCTTCAATGTTCTGTTGAACAGGGGCCATGCAAATGAACGGTAGTCCTTGTTCTGTGCGTTTTGTCATTCTTACCTTTGAACATCAAAACAACTAGGTGTCAGCGGGAGCTTAAAGTACAAATTACTGTTTTTATCATGGAACCAAAGCTTTGAGAGCAAACAAACAACAAAGGCTGGGGACATTTTAGGTTTTTATAGCTGCCTGTGACTCCAATGGTGAGATTTCCCGTCCCATCCTGTGTGTGGTCACTGTGAGAGGAAAGTGAGGAGAAACTCTCTCCAACACGGTTAAGGGAATAAAACAAAACCTGACCACTATTATTTGTTACCTGCTGTACATATAAATGTGGTTGGAGAGATTCCCCATATTTCATGTCCAGAAGGTTACGGTAGCTCTCCGCAGAACAAACAATAATGCTCTTACTTACACTTCTTGTTGTTCCACTTCCTGCTCCTCCTTATACATTAGTGATGTAGCCCTGGCCTCACAGATGTATCCTGGGAAGGCGACATCACATCAGTGCCTTCCTGGGATATCTCATCTGTAAACTTCAAACTGTCCCAAGATCTCAGAGAAAGGTATTTTCCTCCCCTCAGATGATGTGCATGGTCACATGTCCTATTCACATGGGCCAGAGTTCCAGGAAGTAAAGGGAAATATATTGATCCACCCTTGGTTAAAATGGCCACCTTGAGAAGAATGAGGAGGAAAAGAGGAACATAGTGTGCAAAAAAATACAAAGCCGACAATTATCTAGAAGTATGTGTTTGTAGATTGTCATTACTAAACATTTCTAAATATGCCTTTGTTGTTTATTTTAAAGCTGAACTTCCGGGATAAGCAAATATTACCTTTAATACACCAGCCATGTGTAGTCTTACTGGACTCTTGGTGTGCTTCTGGTGTGTATTTCTTCCAGATCTGTGCAGTAATCCAGTGTGACACTTTCCCCCTGTGCAGGAACTTCCTGTAATAAAGACCGGTCACTGCTGCTCTCTCTCCCTGTGCAGGGTGACTGGTCTTGTCTCTGCCCCCTCCTGTAGTGCAGGGATGACCAAACTCCGGCCTTCCAGCTGTGGTGAAACTACAAATCCCATGAAGCATCTCTCTCCGGGAGTCGTGGCTGTGAGAATCTTGCAAAGCCTCATGGGATTCGTAGTTCCACCACAGCTGGAGGGACGCAGTTTGGCCATCCCTACTGTATGGGTGGGGCCTGTTGGGTCCTTCCCGCAACTCTGCTCTCTGCACAGATGATGTACAGTGATGATGTCACTGCTATTTTTAGAAGGTAAAGACATTTGGGGCACACAGAGTGTAACTATTCTCTTCTCCTCCAGGTATCCGATTCCCTCTCCGCGTGGAAAAAGCTGTTTTCTGCAGCTGCGCCATCACCAGCGCCCAGTTCCTGAGCCATGTCTGATTCAGCAGAAAAGGACGATGCCCCCAAACCCTTCAGCGCGTTATCTTTCGAAGTTCCTCATGATCCGGGCACTCTGTCCCTTAGCGACTCGGACCCTGCGTTATCAGATGATGCAGAGATAGAGTCTGTTAGCGCTGAGGAAGAAGAGGATGCCGATGAAGACCGTAGACCTGGAGGTGGGCTTGGATCTCCTTTGCAGCCTTTCATCTTGAAAGGCGCAGATATGGGCTTCTCCCAGCGCAGCCACGGCATTTTCGGAGCTTTGTTCGATTTACAGAAGGGTTCACCTCTAGCCCAGGTTAATAAAAAAGGGAAGCAAGGGGTTGGTTCTAGTTCAGCTCCTGAAGTTCCAGCTTCTAACCCACCTGCTGAAGTTCCAGCTTCTAACCCACCTGCTGAAGTTCCAGCTCCTAACCCACCCGAAGAAAAGGAGAAACCCACTTTGTCTTCCAGTACTGGAGGCTCTTCCAGGAGAAAACGCTCGACACCAACGTCACGCCTTCCTGATTATCTCGCCCACCCCGAGCGCTGGACAAAGTACAGCCTGGAGGATGTTCCGGATACCAGTGACCGCGCCAACCGCAGTACGGCTCTCAACTTCTTGGCGGAGTTAAAGCAGCAAAAAGAAGCTAAGGGGGCCTCCAAGGATCCCGCTAACCCCCTCCCCTACAACCAAGATTCCTCCAGTTCCAGCGAGGGGAGAATCCTCTTCACAAAGCCGCAGAAGAAGAACCAGAAGGATCACGAGAAAAGCGGGGCACAGCCGGGGCAAGAGCACGTGGCCAGCTTATGGGGCGACGATGGACTGGAAGACGCTGAGGGGATTGGAGAACAGTCCAAGTCCGAGTCATTGGGGTTTCACGGGGCTAAGAAACGGAGCCGGAAAAATCTCAGACAGAAAGCAGATGATAAAGAGGAAGAGGACTCGTCATGAGCAGCGCTGAGGATGAAGAACGTCAGCTTATAATTTGGTTTCTTGTAGAGTGATCTTAAACGCAATAATATTAATAATCTTAATATCTATATTATTGTAAGCTTGGTGTATAAAATATTTTCTTATTTGATTGGATTTGTTTCTTTAACTTGCCAATCGCAACAACATCAGTTTATGTCCACGTGAGCTAATCGCTCATTTTGAATTCAGTGCTGACTGGAGGAAAGAGCAGAGTGACGGATAGATGAGCTCTTCATTGTGCTGCTTCTCCTTTCACTGTCCTGTCACAGAAATCAAATTGCAGCAGAAAAAAAGAACAGGTCCTGATCCCCTGCTAGACAGGACTGTGCTTGGGGAAGAGTTGTATAATTCTTAGAACTGGATGGACGGGTATACAAATCCTTGGCCAGGAATCACAGCTCCAAGACATGTGTTGCATTTGTGGAGTTCAGCTTTAAAGAAGAACTCAGGGCAAAAGTGTTCTTAACCCTTGCAGTGGGGCTGCCCCCACACTCCAATGTTAGGTACTCGTTCATGTCTAGGTGCTTAAAAAAAGTTATACTCACCCGAACCATGGAGCCGGCTATCTGCTTCTCTGGTCACTGAAGCCTCGCTACTCCCCTGCGGCAGCATCGGAATATTTCTCAGAATCCTCATGTTTATGCTTTTGAGGGGAATTTATCAAATCTGGAGCAGCTGTGCATGGCAACCAATCAGCCTCTCTCTCTTTCATTTTCTAATCTTAACTGAACAAACAGAGAGAAGCTGATTGGTTGCCATGCACAGCTGCTTCAGTTTTGATAAATTCCCCCCTGTGTGTATAGAACGTGATGATTTACAGGACTAATGACTGCTGCAGCGCAGGGGGGACAGGGGCTCTGAGGATCGGGTGAGGTTAACTTTTTTTTTAGAACCAATACAAAAACGAGCAGTTAACCCTTACAGTGCAGGGGCAAGCCCCATGGCAAGGGTTAAGAAAAATTCTGCCTAGGGTTCAGCTTTAAAGGCCAACTCCAGCTTTCCTGCTGAAGCAGTAATTGTTGGGGTGCCTGGACCCCATCCGCTGTCCAGCCTCCTGCATGCTTTTTTTCAGTACATAGGTCTTTAGCCTCTTGAGGACTGGCCCGTTTTACACCTTCATTACCAGGCCGTCGTTCACTTTTCAGTGACGTGATACTTTCCCAATTACTGCTACTTGCAACAATGGACCCAAATCATTTTTTCGACAGGTTTCCTTTGGTGGTTTTCAGTAACTTCAAGATTTTTTATTTTTTTACTATATAAAGGAAAAATTGAGAAGAAAACTTACTTTCTGCAATAAAACAGCAAATAAAAAAAACAAAATGCACCTTGCCTGGAATCCGAGCACCGGCCCTGGTTATGGTGCATGAGATACATTAAACATACATGCCAGACACAGAGGGAGGAGTTGGTTAATGCACAGATGTGCAGAGCAAGGGAGCTGGGGGGCTAAAATACACGTTAGATCAGAAACCCGATGGAGCTGACATATACTGTAGAGGGGTGAATGACTGTATAGTGGAGGCTGACATTGTTTCTGGCACTGGGTGACACTGGTACTCATTTACACTGGTGCTGGCTTTGATCAGGAAGCCTTCACACCAATCGGTGTGTGAGATAAAAGTGAGTGCCGACTACTAACCACAGCCATAGTTTACATTGGCTCTCATATCGGCTGTTCGTGTTTTGACCCTCGATGTGGACGTTACATAAAAAAATGCATGTCGGTGCCCAGTAAAATAGTGCAATGCATTGAAAATGCATGTGACCTTACGTGTATTATCTGTGTAGTAAAGGAGCCCTGGACCACCCTACGTGGGTGATAGATATTTATTTCTTGCTCTTTTTAACTTTGTTCTTATTAAGATCATTTGCAATACATTCTTTAACCACTAGAAGGCGCTCACTACAAGACTGTCCTGTGAAATGACTCTGGGGAGGACAGGCCTCAGTGACATTAAAGAATAACTGAAATTGTAATGAATTCCTCCAATTGTTACTCCATCTCACCCCCTTGGAAAAACTTGTGGGTATTAGTACTTATATACAGTATGTCTTCTTCAGGTTACTACTTCTGCCTCTCTGCAATATGCATATGCAAGCCTGTCTGGTCAGAGAGGGGTCACCAACGGGGAGACTTGTTCTGTAATGGATTTTTTATGATATTAAAACACAATCTTTCAAATGTGTCCCAAAAATAAGTTACATTTAATAAAACCCTATGAGTGCAAATGAACAAAATTCTTCCTGGGCCAGTCAGGAGGTTTTAGGCCTTGTTTACACTGCATGGATGCAGAATAGTGTGTTTGTCGTTCATATTCCTCCTGCAGTTGGGCCATTCAGAACAGCCATAGAAAGCAATAGGCCGCCATTATTGGAATGCTGCCGATTACATTGTGGTGCACAATTCTGAACACTCTGGTCCCGGCCTCAGTTCACTCAGTTCAGTGCGCATTTTTAGACCTGGCGCTTTCGCGGTGCTTGCCAGGGGTCAGAACTGCCTGCCAAATGCTTGAAAACAGCAGGGATGGCCCACATTGTAAATGCTCTTCTCACAGGCTTTGTCAAGTACCTGAATGGAGACCGAGCTGAGCAGAGGAAGACTACCCTTGCAAACTTTGTCCAACTCTCCTAAAGTTGGTGACAGGAAGAATGAGGACGCAGGAACTAAGGCCTAGGGGAGTCCGTGTGGATACTTGAGTGCGTTGACCAAGTTGCTGCAGAAAACGGGAACTATACATAGTAAGGTACAGGAATAGATAGCAGATACAAAGTCAGGAACAGAAGCCAAGGTTGGTAATGTCCAGATGAAGCAGAGCCAAATCGGTAATCAGGGTCACAAGCCAAGGTCAAACACAAAGAACCAGAAGCAAGGCACCATATAAGTAGACGGAGAGAGGGTCAGAGTCACAAACCAGATCATCTATCAGGAAACAGTATCCTAGTTCGGGTCACAGGGATTAGCTCAGGGTCCATGCTGATTTAAATAGGCAGATTGGCGCCAACGAGTATGCCGGTGCACGCCCACACCAAAGTGAACTCTTGTGTGCATGAGTATTAGTGCACACGAGCGCCAGATAAAGTACACTTGGCTATTATAGGCAGGACCCTGCGTAATAGAATACGCACAAGCTTGTGCCCGTGTTGATTTCCTGATGAATACTGGGCCATCCTCATAGGCTGCATCCCTGCTATATGACCAGTCCCCATGAAGCCAACTTTCTTTGCTGCAGTGGTCCCAGGCACTCTGATTTCATCACTTGCAATGCAGGACCAGCAGTCCCACACTTAAAGTAAGGAACCCAAGTGGGGAGTGAGCGATAAGGTAAGTAAAACTACATTTTTGTGTGCTCTGTAGACCAAATGGAGCTGCAGGCCAGGCCCACTGCAGGGGTCATTTATGATTTTAGCTGTAATGGCAACCACTGACAATAGTGTGGTGAATATGTTGGCTTTGCTGCATACTAGCTAAGATCATAGCTATGAGTTGACATGCTGCATAAAAATGGCAACTTTGCCTGTGTAAGTAACATATGTGCACTGCACACCCCATATGTAAAAAAAAAGGCTCTAAACCCCCCCAGAAATATAAACCAAGAAACACTAATCACCAAAACAAAATACTTTTACTTCATTTTACTAAACCTAGCGGAATATAAAAGAATATAGATAAACATTAAATAAAAGAAAATAAAACAACCAAAAAAGGCTGGGAAGGAGGTGGGCAGCAAATTATATTTACATGTCACTGAAAACTATAAAGTCTGTGACGTGGGCTGAGTCAGAGAGCTAATATTTATATGACTGGCGCTGGGTCAGAGAGATTACATTTACCAGAGATTGGTGCGGTGTGGAGAGATTACACCTTATTTACATGCTATTTGTACCATGGTCGTCCCAGTAATGTCTTAGCTAGTTCCCTGGTTTCTCATCTGTCTCCTTGTAACACTGAACCTGTTCAGGGATTACATATATTGTATTTCTGCAGATGCAATGCCCAGTGCTACTCATTTGTCAGCTGTTCTTGAAGTCAACATGTCATGTGTTTTTGGATTCTCAATTCCCTTTCATGGCCCTGGTTTCTCTAGCCCTCCCTTTATATCTCCTTCTGTCCAGTCCTAGATTTTTATTATGCTCTTACTAGCCTTTCTGCATTCCAGGACTAACCAAAAAACAAGTACGGCCAGTGGTTATCTTCTTCTTTTCTACCTCTAGGGCTTGTGTTGGCAACAAAAAGTCAATTCTGCATCATCCCTTACAGGCCTAATAGGGTCAGGTGTGTTCATGGTAACATAGGTGCTGCAGATCCAGGTATACTGAAATGTCAGCACACCAGCAAATGATTTGCAAATAGTTATTGCAAATTATAAGGCCAAAGCTTCAATGGCCGTGTGGGCCCCCTTTATCGAGGTGATAAACCCACAGCCCAAGGCAAGCATGGACAGAAGATATTAAAACAAAAGTATTTACAATGCCATAGAAAAAATGGAAGAACCATGTGAAATGTACTAAATGCTCACCTTTGCCAATTCTTCCCTGGAACTGGAATTGGTAGACTCTGTCACTGATCTTGGTGACTTATATAGCAGATTTTATGGGTACAAAAACCCATGTAAACAGGTACAGTACTTATACTGACTCCTATTTTTCTTCTTCTGCCAGCATTGATTGTGTACATCAGTTTGCCCCAGTGTGCAAATCCCTATAGTTGCCTCACAGAATTGCCTGCTTATTTCTGGTAGATCACATGCATTTTCATATTCACACCATCTCCAAAAATAGAGGCTTTGTCAATAATCCGTATTACTGACTCTTCCAAAGGAGCCTCTGCTAAGCTGCTAAAGAAGAGTCAGTCTCTTGATGTCCTTAGAGACTGAACTCTGAATGTCATGCTGCTGAATAAAAAAAAAAGGAATCAACACTAACCATACAGTATAGACCATGAGTAAATGCCATGTTTTATTAAAACCTGTATATTTGTGGTTT